TCGAATTTTCAAGTTCCTCTCCATCAATACATATTTTGTTATTAATAGTTATTAATTATTCTCCTTTCTCCTCTCAATAGGCTCCAGTCTTGATACACTAACAGTACTTGGTTCTCATAAAGGTGATGTCATTCTCCTAGCTAATGATAGATCTTTAAACACCTCCTCCTCATTCCAGCAATAATCTAATGGCCCTCTCTTCAGTCTTCATGGAGTCCTTCCAGTATGATGATACTCTTCCACAATAATTATGTTAGGAAGTTGAAAGACATTATTTTTAATTGGCCGCTACTGTTCACTCTCACTGAGGATGGGATTATATGTATCCTAATTAATGCCCCATGCACATTTCTTAGCCTTAGGTTTTTTCCAAAATTGGCTCCAAATTTTTATTACATTTTCTGATACATAATGTTTTATGCTGTGTAGAAAATTTGAGCTGATTCCGACTTAAAGTTTTTAAGTTATGGGCAAAGGCTAAACTCTGAAAAAACCCAATGTTTATACACATGTACTTCTTTCTTTCTCTATCCTTTCTTTTTTTTTCTTTTTATTTCTCTCCCTGAGCTATGTACATGACTACATGTACTACATGTACATTAATCATTAATAATGTACAATTATGATCCTTAACTTCATTATTATCCAGTGGTCTACAGTGTCTCTAATGCTATGATCATTGCTGCCATTCATCCACTGGAATACTGTAGAATGTTTTTAGCTATAACACTCCAGGTAAATATTTACAATATTATGATAAAATTTAGAATACATGTACCTCTTATTTTGTCCATATGTAGATGGTACTTTTGTCCTACAAACCTTGTCCCTGTCTTCATTTCATAAGATCTCAGTCTCTCCTGATTTAATGAAACTCTGTGTCTCCACTAAAACCCATCACATCATTGCTGTCGATTTAGGGATTTATTTCGCCATGTGCTCCTCGCATTATTCTAGAAATTTCCGTCAAAAGTCGACCAAGAGGGTCCCACCCACCCAGTGGCTCCAGGACCCGCCCATCAGCCAAGAGGAGGAGCTAGAGAGAGGGAGGTATGGTGGACTGACAAGACAAGGAAAAGGAGCAAAATATGTCAGACCTTTTGTCAGCCATTTTTCTGTTGCTAAGCGATGCAGCTAGTAGACTAATGAGGAACATTGATAGGATGAATTGTAACGAGGGACGTGGCCTCTCACTAGGTGGGGTTTCTAAACTACTGAAGGAGCACAACAAACCAGTCAAACCAGTTTCAGACGACAAGTGGTACATGCCTAGTAGAGGGGTGTGACTTAGTGAAGGAGACTGGGAGGAGTCTAGCAATGTTTGTATTATTAGTATGAGAAAAACTAAACCATTGAATATAAAATAGGACGACATGTCCTTAAGCCCTATCCACTCCGGCACTAGTTATCCCATACAGTGTATACTCCCTCCAGCTGAAGGTCATGTGACCAGTGACTCCGCCCTATTGTACCCCCACTATAATAACGGATTGGTAATAGCATATTATGATAAGAATAGGAATGGAAAAACGAGGAATGAAGAACGGGAACCAAAAACTATATATCAATTTAATTGTCATTTATAAGGTTTCTGAGAGATACTATTCATTAGCCAAGTAAGTCATTAACTATTATTATTAATTGATGGGTGTGGTCTTGTATGTCCTTTTTAGTTTGTTGTGTCGGAACTGGTTGATCCTGCCCACTAATGAGGACAAACCGGTTTATCTGGTTTCTGATAGTTCACTATCAGTGTCGGCTTTCCTTTTATCACAAGAAAACTTTGTAGCAAAAGTAATTAATTCATTTATTATTATTATTATTATTATTATTATTATTATCATTAGGTGTTATTGTATGGTAGTGCGTCAGTAGCTGAGGAGGTGTGTCACTTGAACCGCTGGGACCAATGTTCCCTCCCTCTCAATGCACTGGAGACTGGACTGGAACTGAGGCAGTTGGACATAGTGTCATTATTCCTTAGGAACAGAGGTAAAGGATATACTATTTATAGTAACACTGATACTGTTACTATAAATATACCGTATTTTACCAATTAAATGCCTAAGTGTTTATTTCTTAGCAGCAAAAAAATTCATTGAAAAAAATTAAGAAGTTACTTCGAGCAGGCAGAACCCCCAACTCTTGGCAAGTTCGACCAGGCTCTAACTAATAAGCAATTTGGAGCTATCGAAATAGTGGGGCATTATTTTTAGTAGAAATATGCGTATCTGTAGCTAGAATATATTAATGACAGGCATTTATTTGGATCAGGCATTTATACGGTAAAATACGGTAGTAAGAACTAAGAGTGCCATTGTAGTATTGTATTGTATACAGTGGTAATATTAAAGACTCTACTCTATACAATGCTACTGTACACTTGTAGTAAGCTTAAAAATTTATTGCCGGGATTAGCTTAAACTTTTAAATACTCCAATTCCAAGGCTATATTTACATGTAACTTTAAACTACCTATACAAACAGACATTCAGACACACACTTCCTACCAGGCTTGCTTTGGCTAGTGCACATAACGTAATTTTTTAAATAAAACATGTTGTCTGACTCAACTTAAACTTTCACTTTCATAATTGTGGTATGTGTAACTTTAGGCCTTGTTTACACAACTACACTGGCCTAATCTGCATTGTTTTTGCTATTACTGTTTTCAGTGTTTACACTAATCTAGCAGCTGCGTTCTCATTAGAATTTATCATTGTTTATAGAAGTATGGTATGTGTTTTGATATTTTATTAGACCTATACAGACCTATAT